TTCTTTGTACCTGGAACTTAAAAGCTGAGGGACTCAACTCTGCAAGCCAGAAGAGAAGTGGCAGAAACTTTATCTTGGGACACTTACGGGACAAAGCTCCTGGCTCCATCCAATGGATTCACAGCCGAGGGATCCGTTCCGTGGTGTTTCTTCTCTTTCACCTTGCTGCTCACTGTTCCCTGAAAAACCCTCACAGAGACAAGGCTGTGGCATCCCATCCCACCTGCAGCATCGCTGAAGGGATCAAGACCTCATGTTCCCAGGGATTGCCTTTCCACATGTGCCACTCCAGGGATAATCATCACATCCTGTGCTCAGGCACTGGACCAACTCCTCCTGGCTACATCCACCACCCAGGGACTCCTCACCTGCTGAAACCTCTCGCCCAGAAATCATTGGCAAGTGGTAATTGTGTTTCACATCATCCCTCCCAGGTAGATATTATTGTATTATTATCTCCAGTTTGCTGCTGGAGACAGCCAAGCCCAAACTGGGGAGGTTCCTGTGTCGTAACATAACTCCACACTGGCTGTGCCAGACACAGGGAGACACCCCAGGCAGGCAGGATGTTCCCCAGCTCAGGGAAGCCACGAGGAGAAGCCTTTGGAATTCTTGGACACCAGGAACCCCTTGAAATTGCTCTTTCTGCATCAGGGGTCTCATGCCACAGCAAATGGAGTTGTGTGAGCTTCATCATCTGACAGTTTCACCAGGGTATGTTTAAAAGACAAAGCAGAGCTGACTCAGCACAAGAAGACACCTCTGATGGCAGATCACAAGCCTCGTGGTTCAGAGGGAAGATGAAACCACGTGTCCCTGCTGCAAGCACCAGGATGGGAGACTCGTGTGGGAGTTTGGGTCCCTCTCCACTGCTGCTCAGCACACACACATTAAGTGTACACAGTGTACCTGCCTGGTGACATTAAAGGCAGCAGCTGAGATGTTGAGCCTGATGGAAACACTTCCTGTGATGTTGTGCAGAAGAAGTGAGGATCATTCCCACACTCAGCAAGGCATCATATGCCTCTTACTGCTATCCTGCCCTTCCCTGCAGCCAACTCCAAAGCACCAGAGCACCAGGAGCCAAGAGGATGCAGTGACAAACCGCTCTGCTTCATAGCATCCTGCAGCAAATCTGGAGCTATGAAAACAGAGGCTGCACATAATCAGTCTGCTGCACAGCACTTCCCAACACTTGGGCCATAGCTAAAGCCTGGATTGCTTAGAAAGGCATTTCCAGAGCCCAGAACTGCACCCAGGCCATGCCCATGTGCCTGATCTTTGGTAAATCATTTAACTTGCTCTGTGCCTCAATTTTCCCCAGTTGTACTAGCAGCCAGCCCAAGCCAGGAGGGATTTAATGGCTTTGGTGGCTGGTGCTGGACCTGCACTGGGCTGGGGATTAGCAATGCATGAAGCTCTTACAACCTTCTTCCAAAACAAGTTTTCCCTTTCAAATCCAACCCCTCTGACCTGTGGCTGCCTCACAGTGTTTACCTGTGTCCAGCCCCAGCTGCAACACCCACAGAGCTGGGGCTCAGCAGGACAAAATGCTTCACAGGGTTTTTGTTTGGGAAATCTGCAGCCAACTCACCTGGATTTGCTGAATTAGAAGTAGCAGGATGAATCTGAATAAACAGCATTCCCATGGGGGAAAAACTCTCAGGAACACTGGGCAGTTAAACAAAAGAGCAGAAACAAACATAGGGGGACAGAGAGAAGCATCCAAGGCTCAATAAGTGATAAATATGAGTTATAATAAATAGATATTAAGAGCAGATGGTAAGGACGTATGTAAGAGAAAAGACTTTGCACTCCCCAGGTACCTGATGCCTCCTCTTCCCCCTCTCCTTGGCTGAATGAGCCCAAACCCACTGTGTGCTGCCCTTTATAGCTTCCTGGTGACACAGGTGTGCCCTGTTCTGCTCGTCAGGCAGGGCTGGAGGGACTCTGGGCTGGGCAGCAGCATCTAACCCTTCCCCCAGCAGCATGTGTAATGCGTCGGTCCATCCGTGTGAGCATCTCCGTCCTCCCCGGGCACGAGTGGGAGCTGAGCCTCCCCAGACCCTGCCAGGGCCTGAGAGGATGAGAGCCATGTCGCTGTGGGAAAGGTGATCCCAAGACACCTCAGATGGGGTGACCAGTGCAGTGACGCAGTGTGACATTTCTATCCCCAGCTGCAAAGTGCCAGGTGGGGCTCAGCTCCATGCTGTGCCTCGATGCTCCTCCACTCAGGCGGTTGGCACCGCGTGGCCCCGACTCGTGCTGGGACTGCCCAGCACCTCAAACCTCCAGCTCACTGGGACGAGCCCTGGGCACGAGGCTGGGAAGCAGCACCCCGTGCCTCCTGGCAGGGCCTGGCTCTGCCGGGAAGGGCATGGGGTGTCGTGCGGCTCGCGCTGGCGTTGGGCAGTGCCCGCGCCGGCGTTGGGCTGTGCCCGCCCTGCTCTCACACTTCTTCTTGTCTGCAGGCTGGCTCAGGTGCTCCGATCACCTGCTGCTTGCGGGAACGGGAAAGCAGCAGCTGAAGATCGAGGGGGACTTTTGGTTTACTCAGATGACAAGAGACAATTTTGGTTCCCCAAAAGCCAAGGAAACAAAGCTGTCAGGCTTTAATGGTAGCTTGTCTCCCTCCTGCAGCATGTTTATGGGCAAACAAGCTGCAGAGCAGACCAGGCAAACAGCAGCAGGTGAGGCCAAATAACAATCCTTCATAATTAATGGCGAATGTGGCTTTGTTTATTCTTGTTGTATTGAGGCAACGCTGTCGAGCGTCCGCAGTGAGGCCACAGGACTTGGCAGAGCTGCTCAGTGCCCAGTGCTGCCTCCTGCTCTGCCCCTCCCTGTGTGCCCTGCTGCCAAGGGCATGAGCTCTGCCACCCTGTCCTCCACCCGCACGTGCCCAAACCGATGGGGCAGAACGGCGATGCTAAACCCGTGCTCCGTGCTGGTGCCTGCCCAGTTTGCTCATGGCATGGAGCTGTGCTGATCCAGCTGCTCTGGGGTGCAGCTTTCCAGGGGCTTTATTTCTGATGTTAGCATCATTCCCAAAGGCTCCAGTGTGTGTTTCCCAAGTGTTGTGTCTCCATGCTGTGCATCAGCATCACCTGTGCCTCCTCACCGCCCTGTGTGGGGTGACGGGCAGAGACACCTGAGCTGCATCCAACCCTTCTCCAGGTTGGTTGTCCATACTCTCCAGTGGTAACTCCCACTGGGGCCAGCTGGGTTTGCCTCCTCCCCGGGGTCCAGGCTCTGTGGGTGTGTGGGGAGGCACAGTCCCCCTCCCTGCATGGCTCTGCTGTCCCACGCATGTGCAGCCACCGCACCAGGAGAGGCATGGACAAAACAGACAAACCCAAGAGACATTCTTGAGTCTCTCAGCTGTGCAGAGCTCTTCAGACAACACTCCAGGGGTTCTGGTTTGGGGGTGGCCCTTGCTGCAGCAGAACCCCCATCCCTGGCACTGCAGGGCCGCACATCTCGGCAGCCACGCACAGATATTTGCAAACCATGCTCTGATTTTTTATTTTAAGGGATCCCCCAGAGACTAACCTAACCTGTTCTGGGAGCGTGGAAGAAAGCTTTGAAGTTGTTGCTTCCTGGAAATAGTTCTGGTTTCCTACATCTCGTGAGGATGTTCCTGGATTTGTTCTTCCCTGAACATCCCTCAAGCTGCCCCAGTCATGGCAAACACCGACGGCAGCCACCAGCCCCAGCAGGGCACTGCTCATCTCACCCTTCCCTCCCTGCCTTTGTACAAGTTTCATGCTGGGAGGAAACTCCATGTCCTTCAGCTTCTTTCCATTCATCCTTTAGTCTTAAAACATGAGCCGTTTTTACGTAGCATGTGCTGATTTTTATTGCTGCACTGAGAAGTCGTTGAGCTGGATTGACAATATGCCGATTGTTAGTGCACCCTCCCCAAGTGATCTGGGGGTGCCTGTTTCACTTGGGGCATGTGTATTTCCTTCATAAACCCTGCACCTCGCCCTGGCATTCGCTGCTGTGTTACTTGCAGGAACCATCTGACTGTGGAACAGTCATTCCCCAGGAACCGCAAAGAATGCCAGGGCTGAAATGATCTTTGGATTCTTTCAAAACTTTCTTTTTTTTTCCTCCCTAAGTTAAATTGGTTATTAATTTCAGAACATAAAAGCCAAAGAGTGCCAAAAGGCACAAGTCTCAGCCACAGTTTTACCCTATAAAGCTTTACTGGGTCTAAGAACATTTCTTATGGAATGCTGAAAGGGAAAACTGAGCCCCTTTGCCTGGTGCAAGGCCACAGGATGCTGCACTCACCAGTGCCTGTCTAACCTTCTGCTAATTGACTTTTGCCCATTAAGCAAAGGGAAGTCTGTGCTGGATTAATTGGGTTTGATCTTCTCAAGCTTCCATTAAGCCAGGGATGATGAAAGTTTAGGGCTGTGGCTTGTTGTGGGACTAATCCCAAAGCTGAAGGCAGAGGAACTCTCTCCCCTGGTTCCCATGGGTGCACACTGAAGCACAGCTCCAGGCCAGCCCAGCAGCTCCAGGGATTTGGGACAGCAGGGAATGGAGGTGGTGGCTTGGGTGGTTGATCCTGCCTGGTGGGACACAACACGTGCAGGGGATCAGCGTCCCAACCATCCCACGGAGCAGCCAGCGGGACAGGGTGGGCAGCTGGTCACAGGTCCAGCAGTGGCACCGGGGACAGTCCTCAGCCTTCCAGGAGACCAGTCCAGACCTTGCCTCAATTCCAGTCGAGCTGGGAGGTGTGGGAACACAGCAAGGGCAGCGTCCAGGCTTCTTCCTTCTCTAACCTTTAGTTTAGTTTCATCACTCCTCTCCTCTTACTTGAGGGAAATAAGGAAGTGGCCGAGGCACCCCAGGAGCTGTGCTGCCATCTGTGGGGCTGGAGAGCTGCCTAGAGGGTCACTGAGCTCCATCCTTGGCTCTGGGGTCTCTCAGCCATGCTCTCCTCT